TAATTACATCAGTCTCCGAACGTTTCCATGTAGTGCCAGTTGTAGTCAAGGCTTGAATAACCTCATCAGGATCAACACCCTCGTCACGAAGTCTAGAGTACTCGTCATTTTCAATATCTTGCAAATGATAAAACCTGTTGATGGAGGTTCTATCAAACGGTATCCATTTACTCCGCACAAATACTCGAAAATCTCGATGCTCCTTCGCATTGACGTAGAACTCCCTAACAATCGGAATTAGCGCCGATCGTGGTTGCCGAGCAAACACCTTCCAATTTCGCTAACCTATTTACTCTGTCATATAATTGTCAAAACCACGTTCAGGGATACAGGTCTTGTGTACCACCAAGCTATTATAACGTTCAGCGGCCTCGGCACTAATGAATTTGCTCCTGTCAAATGAGCTAGAAGAGGAGGTTGCGGCTTTAGATCTCTTTTTAGGTGGCATTGGACCTGTACAAGGGTAGAACAAGCAAGCCATGAGCAAAAACAGTAATAAAGGAAAATAAGGCAAGGCTAAAAATCTAGCCATAAGAGGAAACTATGATCGAACGTGCAATAGATGTATTCTAAACCCAATTTTCAATTCATGATCATCTACATGGCAATTCCCACATAATTCAATTAGCATAATAGCCAAAACAGCTCCTTGTACCCAACTAAGTTCACCTAGACAATTCATCAAACACATTGAAAGCACCAAATTTCCACCAAAAATTTACCCATAATTTGGGAGTAATTCATGCCACATTATTCGCACCACACACAAAGTTCTTGACACTACAACAAGGCAAGCCCTCCTCGTAACATAATTAACAAAAATAGGCACATAAAAGCAACAACTATAATGTAAGAGGAGCAAATACAATAGCCATACCTGGAATGGTGTTGTGGAAACTAATTGGGATGGATGAATTCACACTTATCAACAATGAGATGTGGAAAACAACAAAGGGGAGTGGAAGGGGGCAAAAAAAATGTGTAATTGAAAGAATTGTGATGTGGGTGAGGTGATAAAATAAATTCAACCAAAAACAAAACTAAATAAGGAAAGAGAGGGGAAGAGTGTACCTTGGAAGGGTTGAGCGGGAGATGAGAAGGGGTAAATTCAAGGGGTTGGGGAAGGAGATGAGAGGGGAGAGGGAGGAGATGAGAGGGAAAGAGGGTTGGGAAAACTCGTATGTGAGGAGGGATGGGGGTTTAGGTTATAAGAAATAGAAAAGAAATGAAAAAAATAATAAAAAAAAATGGGGGGGAAGGGTTTGGTTCGCTGCGCCTAGGCACTGCGTTTCTGCCTAACTGGGCAGATGCAGCGGAGGCGCTGCATTTCTGCCGAAGCAGGCAGTTCTCAGCGCCTGGGCGCTGCAAACTTAGCGCCTGCCTCATTTTGTAAAAATATATTTTTTTTTATTTTTTTACCTCACCCTTTTTCACACTCATTCATTTTCATTATAGAACTCAAATTCCGCAATATGTAACCTTCATGGATTCTCCTACAAAAGCAAAAGAAAGAGTTACTACGATAGTATAAATTATTAAAAGAAGAAAACAAAATCAAAGCATAAACCAATAATCAAATAAAGAATAGAGCTTGGGTTGCCTCCCAAAAAGCGCTTCTTTTAAGTCATTAGTTGGACGTAGTGTCGCAGTTATTCGGGAACAGCTAGATTAAGACTCTCTTTAGCGGTGGGAAAATCTTCCACATAATGCTTGATGTGTTGACCATTTACTTTGAAATTTCCTTTAGTTGGATGGTGTAATTCAACTGTCCCGTAAGGAAACACCTGAGAGACCATAAAAGGGCCGGACCATCGAGACTTCAATTTTCCTGGAAAAAGTTTAAGCCGGGAATTGTATAATAGCACTTATCCCCTACTTGGAAAATTCGTTGCCTGATGTTCTTGTCGTGCCACTGCTTTTCCTTTCCTTATAGATGGATGCATTCTCATATGCCTCTCTTCTGAATTCCTCCAACTCATGTAGCTGTAGTACTCTTGTTTCTCCAGCCTTTTCGAGGTCCATGTTTAACTGCTTCAATGCCCAATACGCTCTGTGCTCAAATTCCACTGGTAGGTGGCATGCTTTCCCAAAGACTAGTCAGTATGGGAACATTCCTATAGGTGTCTTGTAAGCTGTGCGATATGCCCATAAAGCATCGTCCAATTTTTTTGACCAATCCTTGCAAGATGCATTCACAATGACCTCCAAAATTCTTTTCAATTGTCTGTTTGATGTTTCCACCTGTCCACTTGTCTGAGGGTGATAAGGAGTGGCAATTCGATGTTGTACTCTGTACTTATGCAAAACTGCTTGGAACAACCGATTGTGGAAGTGCGTTTCACCATCACTTATAATGGCCCTAGGTGATCCATATCGGTTAAATATGTGTTTCTTTATGAAGTTCACCACCACCCTTGCGTCATTTGTAGGCAATGCTTTAGCTTCTACCCATTTTGAAACATAATCCACCGCAACCAGGATGTACCGATGGTTGTAAGATGATGGAAATGGACCCATAAAATCAACCCCCTAGACATCAAATATTTCCACTTCCAAAATATTGTTAAGTGGCATCTCGTGACGCGCTAATATGTTACCTGTTCTTTGACACTTATCGCATGACCTACAGAAACTGTGGCAGTCCTTGAACAATGTAGGCCAAAAGAAACCACATTGGAGCACCTTTGCTGCTGTTGTAGTGGGGCCAAAGTGCCCTCCATAAGCCGAAGCATGTACTCGTGAAAGGATCGGTTTCATTTCATTCACAGGCACACATCTCCTAATGATCGGGTCCGCCCCTCTCCTATACAAATTTGGATCATCCCAGTAATAGAATTTCGCTTCATGACTGAGCTTCTTCTTTTGCTAATAGGTGAGATCCGGATCCATATAGCCACTGGCTAAGTAATTAACAATGTCTACATACCACGGAGCTTTTTCTACCTGCAGTAACTGTTCATCTGGGAAGACCTCATTGATATTCATATCATCTGAATTCTGATGTTGCTCTATCCTTGATAAGTGATCCACTACCTGATTTTCTGTTCCTTTTTTATCACGAATCTCGATGTCAAATTCTTGTAGTAACAGTACCCAGCGAATCAGCCTTGGTTTCGCATCCTTCTTCTCAAACAAATACTTCAAAATTGCATGGTCTGTATAAACTATCACCTTGGACCCAATCAAATAAGAACGAAATTTGTCAAAATCAAAAACAATTGCAAGCAATTCCTTTTCAGTTGTTGAATAGTTGATCTGAGCATCATTCAATGTTTTGCTAGCATAGTAGACAACATGAAATACTTTTCCGTTGCGTTGTCCAAGCACTGCCCCACTGCAAAGTCATTGGCGTCACACATGAGCTCAAAAGGCAATTCCCAATCTGGAGCCACTATCACAGGTGCCGATGTCAATTTTTCTTTCAAAATGTTGAAGGCTTTCAAACACTCCTCAGAAAATTGAAAGGGTATATCTTTCTCCAGCAGGTTACACAACGGTTTTGTAATTTTTGCAAAGTCTTGAATGAATCTTCTATAAAACCCTGCATGTCCCAGAAACTCCAGATCCCCTTTACTGAATTAGATGGCTGCAATTTCTCAATCACCTGTATTTTGGCTTTGTCCACTTCAATCCCCTGTGCAGAAATTCTATGTCCCAATAATATTCCTTCCTTTACCATGAAATGACATTTTTCCCAATTAAGCACAAGATTCTTCTCCTCACATCTTTGCAATACAAGAGCTAACCACTCCAAGCAATCATCAAAGGAATCTCCAAACACAGAAAAATCATCCATAAAAACTTTAATGTACTTTTCTACCATGTCAGAGAAGATGGCTATCATGCATCGTTGAAAGGTTGCTGGTGCATTGCATAAACCAAAAAGCATTCTTCTAAACGCAAATGTTCCATAAGGGCATGTGAAGGTTGTCTTCTCTTGGTCTTCTGGAGCAATTACTATCTGATTATACCCTGAATATCCATCCAAAAAGCAATAATGAGAATGTCCTGCCAACCTTTCCAACATCTGATCAATGAATGGCAATGGAAATGGTCTTTTCTGGTTGCATTATTTTGCTTTCTATAATCTAGGCATACTCTCCACCCTGTCACTAACCGTGTTGGTATCAGCTCGTTGTTCTCGTTCTTCTCCACTGTGATTCCACTCTTTTTAGGTACAACATGTACAGGACTCACCTATGAACTATCAGATATGGGATAAATTATTCCTGCATCCAATAATTTCAGCACTTCTTTTCGCACTACTTTTTTCAAGGTTGGATTCAATTGGCGTTGTCCTTCCACTGATGCCCTTGACCCGTCCTCCATTAGAATCTTGTGCATGCAAAGAGTTGGACTGATCCCTCTTATATCTGCTATTGTCCATCCAATTGCCATTTTGTGTTGCCTGAGTACCTCCAACAATTTATTCTCATCTTCCCTTATCATGTCATTTGCAATGATTACTGGCAGTGTTGACGATTCTCCCAAATATGCATAACGAAGGTGGGAGGTAAGGGCTTAAGTTCAAGAGTGGGTGCTTTTTCCACTAAAGGTACCAGGGGAGAAGGGTTGTCTCCTAGAGATTCATACTGCCAATGCCTTCTTCCTATGGGTTGCTCGGCTAAGTTGACAACACATTCAACTTTTCCTGCATTTGTTGCTTCCAATTGTGCAAATTCTGCCTCACAAAGATTTGTGTGATGCTCTATATCAAATGTATCCGCCACAAGCTCTTCAAGAACATCAACTTGGTAGCAAGTGTCGGAAGTCAATGGGTGTTTCATTGCCTTGAACACGTTGAATATGACTTGCTCATTATCCACTCGAAGAATCATTTTTCCATCATACACATCAATCAATGCTCTCCCAGTAGCCAAGAACGGTCTTCCCAAGATCAGAGGAATATTTGAGTCCTCTTCCATGTCCAAAATGATGAAATCGGCCGGAAAAATAAATTTGTCGACTTTAACCAGCACATCTTCAATAATTCCCTTTGGTCATTTGATCGATCTGTCGGCCAGTTGCAAAGAGATTGTTGTAGGTTTTGCTTCTCCTAATCCAAGAGACCTGTAAACAGAGAGAGTCATCAAATTAACACTGGCACCTAAATCACATAAAGAATGTTTAAAGAAATTAGAACCAATTGTGCAAGGTATAGTGAAACTCCCTGGGTCTTTTAGCTTAGGAGGTAACTTTCTCAATAGTATTGCACTGCACTCCTCATTCAAGCATACGGTCTCATGTTCTTCCAGCTTCCTTTTGTTAGATAGGATCTCTTTCAAGAATTTTGCATAGCTGAGCATTTGGGCAATTGCGTCTGCAAAAGGAATATGGATGTGCAGTTTCTTGAAAATCTCCACAAACTTAGCAAACTGATTATCCAACTTCTTTCTTTGTAACCTTTGAGGGAATGGAATTGGTTGCACATAAGCCTTCACGGGGCTGGGTGCTCTTTCTGCAGGTGTTTCCTTCCTTTCGTTTTCCTTGTCAGTTGGTTGTTCAAACTCTACTTCTTTCCCAGCCTCTTCACCCATTATTTCCATTTCTTTTCGCTCAGGTCTCTTCACATGTATTTCTGGAAGTTGCACCCCACTCCTGGTAGTAATAGCTTGTACTTGCTCTTTTGGATTGACCATTGTATTGCTTGACAATGTCCCTTGTGAGCGTTCTGCAAGTTGTTGAGCTATCTGACCAATTTGTGTTTCCAACTTCTTGATTGATGCTTGCTGATTCTGAAAATTAGTGTCAATCTGCTGAAACACCTTGTCAGTCTTCTGTATATACTGGTTGAACATCTCCCCCAAGCTTGGTTTTTTCTCCTGTTGGGTATTATTTGAACTGTTCCCTTGTTGATTATTCGACCATCTGAAATTTGGATGTTGTCTCCATCCTGGGTTGTATGTTTGAGCAAATGGGTTAAAATTTCGAGACCCATTCTGAATGAAATTGACCTGCTCGTCGGGATAGCCTATAGATGTGCAGTTTTCTGTCAGATGATTAGCCCCGCAGTTCTCGCATGATGGACTAGCTGTCATTGCATGTGCTCTTTTCGTTTGTGATTTCACCAATAACTCCACTTGTTTTGTCAATGCCACTATTTGGACGTTGGTAGCTGCTGCGCTGTCTAACTCATACATTCCTCCTGTCTTCAGTGGCGCCACTCTTTCTGATGAGCACATGGAATGTGTAGTGGCAATCAACTCAAACAGTTCCATGGTTTGCTGCACAGATTTTCCTATAATTGATCCTCCAGCTGAGGCATCGACTTGAGATTTTGACAGTGGTGTAAGTCCAGTGTAGAAGTACTGCACTTGATTACCTATAGTAATTCCATGGTTTGGGCATTTTCTCATCAACTAATTAAACCTATTCCATGCTTCGTGATAGCTTTCTCCCTCTTTTTGTTGAAAAGTCTGAATTTCTAATCTGATTTTAGCTACCCTCGTCGGTGGGAAAAATTTATTACAGAACTTCCTGATTAGTTCTTCCCATGTATTAATGCTAGCGTGAGGCTCAGCATCTAACCACTCCAATGCAGCATCTCTCAATGTAAATGGGAATAGTTGTAGTTTAATAGCATCTTCATTGACTCTCGGAGCATGAAAGTTCTGATAGTTTCTGAGAAATCTAGAAATATGCGTGTTTGGATTCTCTTGAGGTAGCCCGTAGAATTGCAGGGCGTTGCTCATCAAGTTAATCTAATTTGGCCTGATCTGAAAGTTATTCACCCCAAAATCTGGATACACGATACTGGAGCGCATGGGTGCTGCTATAGGTGTCAAGAACATTGATACTGGCAAATCCCCTTCATTTATTTCCCTTTGTTCATGCTGTTGTTCCTCTTGCGGCCATTTGCCCAATCGGCTGAATAGGAATATGGATTTGTTAATTGTCAGCTATTTGATGTTGCTATTTTTGTTTGTGTTCCTTGTGTCTTCGTCTGAAGGTACGTTCTATTTCCGAATCAAACGGTTCAAGATCGTCACCTTGGGCACGGAGCATACAACGAACACAATTTTCTGTAATTAAAAGAAAAATAAACAAATCAAATAACAGCCAAAATAAAAAATAAATTAAAACTTAAAGAAATAGTCCCCGGCAACGGCGCCAAAAAACTTGTGTTATTTTGTTTCGCAAGTGTACGACCCGTAACAAGTAGTAGTGGACCTAAGAGTCCGGTTATCGATCCCACAATGACTATTTTCTAACACTTAATTTAATCTTTTTTTAAACTACTATTTAACGAATATAAATAAAAAACAATGATTAAATGTGATTTTTATTCTAAAGACTTAAAAATGCGATTGGATTCAACGAAAAGTGATTGAGAATTCAAACAATAAATGGACGTTAGGGCGGAACAATTTCACCTATTGGTCACCTTTACTTCATAAATCAAGATTCATAACACCTAAGGTAGTGTTCGGTCGAATTCTTCTATTGTATTCAACTTACCCCTCTCGAGTTCTCATTGAGCCTATTTAATTAGTTTAATTCCATATCTCTATGCAAATTAAACTTAATTAAACGAAATATTGATTCTAAGAATTCACACACGACCGCAGCAATCAATACAGGTATCTCTACACATTATATCAATTTATCGGATTTTAACATGTGGTCTAAACAAATAATCCGCATCTCTACGCAATCATTGTTCACAAATCATCTAATTAGTGATCAAGTAATTAAATGTATTAAGAACAACATTAAAATCAACACATGAAATATAAAAGCACTAGAATCTCAATTGCATGAAATAAAGGATTCCAAAAGATTACATTGTTCGCCCTAAAATCAAATTTAACTACTCATAATAATGGAAGAAAAATAGGAAATTGTCTTAGAATACATCACCGAGTTTGAAATAAAGATGTAGAAGAAAAAGTGGAATTCTTGCACCAAGATCTCCTTCCTCTTCCAATGAATGCTTCCAATATTCAATTCTTAGTGTTAATCTTCTTAAATTTCTCCTTTGAATCTCTCTTCTTGTTGTTTTCCTCTCCAATATGTCAAAAACCCCTCAAAAGCATGAGGAGGATGTATTTATAGGTGCCCCCACGTTTTTATGTAGAAGTAGGGTTTTTATAACTTTAAAAGCGGTGGAAAAAACGCGCCCTAAATCGCCAATAGCAGCGCCTAAGCGCTAGCTATAGCGCCTGGGCGCTGTGTCTTCAGCGCCTAGGCGCTGCTGGTAGCGCCTAGGCGCTATGGTTGTGGCGCCTATGCGCTATCTCTCGGGTTCAAATTTCATCTTTTCTTCGTTTCGTAGCGCTGTGCAGCGCCTAAGCGCCATCTTTCTACCCCAATTCCATGTTTTTGGCCTCTTCGTCCACTTTAATACTTCTTTTCACATTGCTTCTCCTTATCTTCAAAATAACACTAACAAACACATAAAAAAACGTTCTATACTCATAAAATCTAGCATTTAATCAAGTTAAAATTGTGCGAAAATCATGAGTGACACAAGCTCATCATGGATGTTCAGACATTAACTTTTGATAGAATCTAGGATTCATTATCAATCTTGTGTAGGACTGTGTAGGACCAGTTAGAAGCCCAAACCAAGCATTAAAGTAATGGTTGGAAGCATCCATGACAGCAAATTCAAACCAACGTGCAATCAGTGGCAGAGTCGATTAGTTCGTGAGAACACTAATAAATAAATATAAATAAATAAATAAAATAAAATAACTTTGGACAAAGAAATACAAAATAACAATAAAATTATTTTTAAAAAAAAATTAGAATTGATCTCTATGGATTTCATGCCTTAAAAGCGCCGTATAATTACATTATTATCAATTACATCAAATATATAAAGATTTTCATTTAAAAACTTTGTCTATAACTTCCTACCGTACTAAAAAAAGACATCTTGTAACATGTAAAAAAGCAATATACGTTAATTTCATGTTACTAAAATATATATGTCAATCGCGATATTCATCAAATTCACTCTAAACATAATTACACAAGTTCTATCAAATTAAAATGTTCAAGTTCTAATTAAACTTTCACATCAAATTAAAAAATATGACAAAATTAAGGCAAACAATGAAGCAAATCCAAACAAAAAAATAAATATAAGAAAGGTGGGTCACGTTGTACGGGTTTTAATATAAATATTTGCAGATAACATTTCATAACCACAATTAGTATTAGATGAACTATGCCAACAACTTATATCAAAGTTTTCATTATACTATTAATACGTCAGTTTTAAATTAATGTTTAGGAGTATTTCACTAAAAAAAACATTCACAAATATTATGGTATATCATTGTGTTCAAAGATATTAGTCGAATGTATAAATATAAATAAACTCCATTTTCTATGACGACATGAATATTTAAACAAAATCTTTCCAACAATTTCTTGAAATTTTTAGGCAAAATTTGGGGATACTTTTGATTTTACTGTAATTTCAGTGCAGATAATCCGAAAAACAAGAAAAAAAAAAAATATAAAAAAAAAAAAAAAAAAAAGGTTGAA